AAAAAAAAAGAGAAAAAGAGAAAAAGATGGGATGACTCCATTCACTCTAATGATGAAATAAGGCATCTGTTTTCCAGTGTGTAGAACTACTACCCTATAAAATAACACAGACAATAACTATTATGTATCATGGGAGGAAGCTTGAGCTCTGGCCTGTGCTGTGATAGAACGAGCTCATGTGGTCTCGAATGCAACGTAAACATAGAATAAAACTGTTTTGCCCTACTGTGACACTGGGGTAACTGTATACTGATGACCACACTTTTGTGGCAAGAGGAGGGTTGGTCAATCAGACAAAGGAGATCCTAAGGCGTAAAGAAGGGAGATGCATGAGGAGAAAAAAATCATTTGCTTGTTGTTGTTTTTTTTTTCTTTTTCACATGATTTATTTCTTTTTTGGTAGTTCACTGTTTTCCAGGGCTTGCTTCCAAATTAAAGAGAGAACCTAAGGCTAGGCAAATAACAGACCTTGTCTATCTGTATTTCTCGTAGGAAAACCTTAGACTTACTAGGCTTTTTTTCTTTTTCTTTTTCTTTTCTTTTTTTTCCAGAATTTAATTCCTAATCACTCCTTGTTAACTTGAGTCAAACCTCTAGAGAAAATGAGCATTGCCTGCAAGGCAGCTGAGCCAAGGAATCCTTGTAGCTTGCGGGTTACTGAGCTGGCAGCCAACAAGAGAAACATATTCCCTTTTGTTTTCCAGTTAAGTGCTAGCATGAAATCCTGATATAAGCCATCCTTGTGGTCTTTGGGGCAAAGCAGGGCACAGACAGCGCCTGCCTACRCTGGCACAAATTTGTGAATAAAGGAGTCTTCCCTGTAGTACTTGTCCTACAATGCAGAATTTGCCCTGCACAGCCCGACAGTTCAACCCCAACCAATGTCAGTTGATTACAGCTCAGTTAATGACTATAATAGGAGTTCATCCCCCTTTTTGAGGCTGACCACCCAAAGAGCTATGGAGCAGTTCAGGAATATCTARCCAGGAATGTAACTGACCTTGGACGCTTGTCCTGTCTGCCTCTTTACATGTACTCAAGAATCCAGCCATGTACATTATAACAAAGGTGGGCAAAATTCCTGCTGGGCCTGAGAGGATTTGAATCGAATTTGTGAATGTGATGGAATTACATTTTGTATTGGTTATGCCAATACAAAGAAGGGAGAAAGTATAAGAAGGGAGAAAGAAAGTCACAATCTTTGGTAGGTATGGCTATCATCAGGCTGCAGAGGTCATGCTGTGAATGTCCCATGCTGGACATATTGGCCCCAAAGAAGGACACGGGATGTCTGTGGCCTTTATTTGTGCTATAGGCATGTCCTGTTGGGGGATTCATCCAGTTAATGACTGGCATCTGACCTAGTCACTCTAGCCTCCCTCTATAGTCACAGAGATTGGCCCGTGTGTTCAGTGCAGATATTGAGTCCATCCTAAAGTGGACACCTATGTTAAATTGCCATCCTAAAAACTGCTTCTCTCTCCTTTTTGAGTGTAAAGGGAGCTGGCATTGACCAACTCAGACAAGTAACCTGCAGAAAAAAAATGGAGGTTAAATGAGATGCATCTGACCTCAGCCTCTTTGATTCCTGTGTCAAAGTGAGGTGGTGCAAGAAGGTATTGGCAGGCTGCACCTATTGCACTGACCATTCCTCCTTCCATTGCAGGCCCAAAGGAAACATGGGAAGCAAAGCCTTATCCCATGAYAGTGTCTTCATTTTGGAATCTTCACCAGCAAGTGTGGCAGGTGACACAGCATCTCAGGAGAACATACCTGGAAGAGTGAAGGCTTTACAGGTGATGAGAACATCTTCCCTCTTTCATGCAGTTGCTTTATATTAGCTGTCTCCTGGAAAACTTGCCCATRTTTCTTGTTTGATTCCTGTACCTTAAGACTTTGTTGACTGATGTTTCTAAAGCCAGATTTACTACTTTTGAATCTTTTCTGCCTCTGGAAAGCCACATCTTTGAGTACTCCTTGTGCTATTGGCCTATCCCATGTGTCACAGTGTGCTCGTGACCCGCCTCAGGAGTCCATGTACTAGATTCTTTCTTTAATAAGTATGTCCTGTTCCATTGAGATTCCCATTCTTTACTTTGTAGTAATTGCTTTTGGGTGAAGGCCATTTATTTATACCTCAGTGTGTTTCTTACACTGTTTTCTTTTATTTCTTTTATTTCTTTTATTTCTTTTTTTTTGGAATTCTGGCCATGGTGTTTTCACAGTACATGATAGCACCATGGCCTGTGTAAGTGTTTGGGGTGACAGATATATCAGCGCATTCTCAGTGACAGCTTTATTTATATCATTATTTTTCTGATCCCTGCCAGCAGAGAATACTGTATTCTGCTAAGTCATTTCCTTCTTTCAAGGCCCACACTGAAACCTCCAGGACAGCTCCTTTATCAACTGTTCGTTATGTTAATTGCATTCAAATAGCTGCCCAGCTCAGAGCACTGAGATAAAAGTTTAAGGTTTGTCCAGAGACTGGAACAAACTGTTGATAAGGCAGCCAAAGGCCATTCAAATTCTTTCTTTGCTCGGTGTGAACTTATTGCAAAATATTTTTGCATCACATGTTGAGTAATAGAAGATGCTTGGAGGGACTTGTTCCGCCATAAAACTGCAAAATAGACTAAGCTTCAGTTCAGGATATTGTTTTTGCATAACAATAGAAGCAGTGGGAGAAATTATGTTTATAGGTGACAGATTTTGTTGGGGGAAAAAAAATACTTTACAAGCTGTCACCAGTCCCATGTGCCCTCTCTTCAACCATGCCTCCTGCATGGTAGCATAATACTGCCAGCATTATTTTCATATTCACAAAAGACAATTTGTGTCTTGTCAGATTAAAAGTAAATCACTGATAAAAGCTATTATTTCCTTAGCAATGTAAGTTAACTTTACCAGTAGAAGATGACTGCAAATTTGGCAGTTTTTCCCCAAACACTTTACTGTCTGCATTAAATAAATTTAATAAATCAAAGATGGGCGTAAAGAGAGGAAAGCAAAATTTACCTCCCGCATTTCCCTTTCCAGGAGATGTGCAGATATGTTGTATGTCTTGTTTTGACTGTGCGTTGCAATCTTTCTATAGTTTGTCGCTGTGTAGGAACTATGTTCCAAAGCAAGTGTTGCTGTGTGGGAACTATGTTCCAAAGCAAGTGTTGCTGAAAAAGAATGGCAACTGTTGAAATCTAATTTGCAGAGATGTAAATGAATGCACTGCTTGAAGAGCAGCACAGGATTAGTCCTAAAATCTAAAAATCTTATTTAACAAGCAAAGAATCAGAAGTAAGAAATAAGGAGGAAAAAAAAAAGAAAAAAAAAAAAAGAAAAAAAAAAAAAACAGAAAAAAAAGGCTGGTCTGCACATTTAGCTTGAGAATACATGAAGACAAAGATTCTCTTCAGATTTTGTCTATATTCCAGCTTTGACATAGCTGAAAGACTTAAGCCAGAAGTTTTAGCAATGGTGTTTCCTCAGATGTGAGGTTTTTTTTACTTGGAGAGAACATCTGGCTACTTGTGAGTTTGTAGACTCTGCTTTATTTTTCTAGGATCAGTTCCTGCCAGAGCATTTTTTTTTTATGCAATCTTGGAAAAGAATCTCCATAGTCCTTTTAAAACAGTCATTCCTGGCTGTCTTTGTCATTCCAGCTGTMGACAGGACCAGGCTGTGATGCTGGGAAAATTAGTAAGCAATTTGTTGAGGTGGAYCAGGAATTGGATTAAATTGTCTTTAAGAAATGGGACACAGCTACTTGCTTGGGAGAGACCAGTGACAAGCTCTCAGTATTTGGAAGGGTTTTATGAAGGAGAGCTGGTCCRTATAAACTTGGAGGTTGGGAACTGCTGACTGACAGTATTTTGTGGGACAAATTGGGCACCCTGGTACATGTAATTATTTTTWWAAAAAAGTTTAAAGACAGCATTTAAAATTTGTATTCAATCACAGCTTCAATTGCAGCAGAATATCAGGCTTGGATCGCCTCCTCTTATTATAACGGGAAGGAAAGTGGAAGATGCAGGTGCTGTTTCTGAAGATGACGGATTACCGAGGAGCCCTCCTGATATTTCAAGCCTTCATGAAGTTCTGACGGATTTACCAAACAAGGTAGAAGCATCACATCCTTTAATGAACTCCTACATAGAGAAGAGAATTTATTTTGAGCAGRGGGAGATCTTCTTATTTGCTTGTCATAAAACTACTGCACTCACTAAGATGTACTTGAATATTTTTACTTGGTTTCCTTTATGCAGACACCATACTCTAACATGAGGAATGAGCCTAATTTTCTGGTTCATTAAAGTTAGTTTCCACTAATGTCAAATTTAAAGAAGTCTGTGGTGAGGATCAGTTAGAACCAGAATGAATTACCTAGGTAGACTGTGAACTGATTGCTGTGAGAGTTAGGAAGAAAGAGTAGGAGAATTAGGAGAACTAGGAATTGGCTCTGCAAATATCCCTTGTGAGCACTGTTTTCTTTACGTAGTACTTTGTTGGAGCAGTTGTGACTCATTAGGAGAAGAGCAGAAGGAAGAGGAATGTCAGTCATTATGGCAACTCCAAATGCTTTTGGTCAAGTTAGGCTCAACAGATAGGACCATATTGCAGAAATCACAGAGAAATATTTAGAGGTGAATACGGTGTTACTGTGACTACTGCTTCCAGTCCCTGGACAAGCTGAGGTACCTGCACTGCACAGACAAACTTCCCATGTCTTTTAACTGCAAAGTGGAGAGGTTTGCAGTTTCCTACATCCATAGAAGTAGATGTACTGTGTTTAAAGCTGGTGGAAAAAAATAGTGGGGTCTGTAAGAATATCTGAAATAATTATCCTTTTTAGAATAAATAGCTCAGAATCAGGGTGATTTTAGTTGCATCAACAGGAAGGTGACAGTCTGGTGTGTATGATGAGAACTGGTCCCGATGGTGCTCAAAAAGGGATTATAGGTTATGCTCTTACTTAAGAAGTGCCTTCTGACAGCAGATGCATGAYTTGGGACTTGAGTAAGTGTGTGAGCATTTGTACATTTGAATATCTTAAAAAGCAAGCTCCAACAACTTTAAAATATATATTGGCTCTATTCCCTATTGCAGTGTGTTGCCCTGTTGTGTATATATCCAGCATAGTGATTTTGTTCCTTACGATCAGCCTTTGTGGCATATTTCACAGCAGGATAAAGCTACTCTTTTCTATGTCTGATGCCAAAGAAGGGATGAAACCTACTCTCTGAGGTAGGGATTTTGCAGTGACCTTCATCTTTCCTCTTGTTTTTTTCTCACATTTATCCCAGTATATTCAGTCCCAGAGAATGCTGTGTGTTACTTCCCTTGACTTACCCTCTTCCTTATTTTATCCCACAGTCCTCCAACCTTGTTCAGCGTCATAGCTCTTTGAGTTTAGGCGGCACAGACAGTGAAGATGAACAGGTAAACAGCTATTCTGCCTCCTAATAAAATTTCCTGGGACAGCATGTGTGTGGTCTGTATGGAGCCAATACAGTACTCTTTACAGTAGTTACAGCTTTACAGAACCTGGTCAGTGCCCATGGAGCAATGCCCTGCTTCCTTCTTCACTGGAATTCATCGCAGGATCAGCCCTTCCCAATACCGCAAGCTAAAAGCCTGAGCTAATTTGACATTTGTTTGACTTATGAGAGATCTTTAGAAGCAGCAGGTCTTGCTGCTTCCAACGCAGTTTATTCCCTGGCCCAACTGCAACAATCAACAGAGGTGACACTTTTGGAGAGGAGCCTAGGGGACCTTTCACCTTGACTGTCCCTGCTGCATGGACCCAGAACTGAGTTCTGTCCACCTCATGTTTTCAAGGCAGACCAGTGAGGTTTGCATATATTATCCCCCTCTCCAGGGAGGGGTACATTGATATATATATTATAATAATATAATATATATATTCATATAATGCCTGAAAGAATTGTCAGACCTCAGATATTCCTGGCAAAGGCAGCAACCACTCAGRCAAAGATGGTTCAACTCAAGGAATAGCTCTTGCTATTGTATGAGCAATCTAATCTGCAAACTCTTTGAGAGTGCAAGATCACAACTGTTTGATTCCCCAGAGCAGCATGGCTGTAAGGGAGAGATCCACATCATTCTGCCTAAAAGATGTTTCTGGGCTACTTGCTGGAGAGAATCATTTGTTTTTCCAGAAGAGTGAATATTCCAAGAGGAAAGTGGCTTTGGTAACTTTCTTAGAAATAAAACTAGTGAGGAAAAAATAATCCTCCTGCTTTTGTGGCTTTTTAATAACTCATTCCTGCGATGTGTCTCGTTATCAGGATGGAAAGGCACTTAGAAAAACTGCACTGTCTCCTGGTGGTGCACACATATATTGCAATCAGCTTTTCACGTAAGAAGGGGGAAGGACAACTGGCACTCTTACTGTGGGAGAGGAAGAGCCAGATATTTCCCGTTTCTATGTAACATACAGCTAAACACACCAAATGGAGTTGAAGGCTATGCAGAAGTGGTATTAGACGTGACTGTTAAAAGTGAGAACTTGATGTATAAAAAAAATACAGCCATTTTCAGGCTTCTGAAATGGAATGAGCTAGCAAAGGAAACCTTTTTCAGAAGCGTGGGGAAGCAAAGCCAAATGAATAGTACTGTGTTTCTGTTTTACAGACAACTTCTGGAGATTCCTCTAGGCCCATCAGTCCTTCTTCCTCTGCTGCCCTTGGTGCCTTGGGCGCACGAGGCCGCAACTTCCTGCCCATTGACTTCACCGTCCCTGCTAGTCCCGTCGGCTGCCTGGACACCTCGGCAGCCAGGCACAGGATTGCCATAAACCCCCGGAGGCAGAAAGGCTTTGCCAACAAGAACCAGCAAACCCAGGTAAGTCTCTTCTGAAGAAGAATCGCTGTGCAGAAGAAAATGGATGTAAATACAGTGCTGAAGGAGAAAAGCTATTTGTGGGGAGGCAACCACAGATCCAGAGTGATGRTTACGTGTCTGGCTTGCTCTATGTGTGCAGCTGACTTGGGCAGGTTGACCTTAAAACATGCTCATTCCATCAAAATATATTAATTCCAGAACGTTTTGGAGAGACATCAGTGGCCGGCCTTTGATATTTTAAAACAGTGGTGATTTCTAAGTTCTTAATTAGAACAGCCCATAATCCTCAGTATCAGTAAATTCCAGGGATTTTACGCCACATATTTTGTGTATTCATAAAKGTGTGTGCATCTAAAACACAAATTTTGTGCCTAATTCTTTAATTAAAATATCTTACTGGACCGTACTAGGTGGACCAGCTGGAAAGTGAAGCATGTTTTCCTGTAGCTCCAGAAAAGAAGGGAAATGCAACAGAATCTCTTGAGAGTGACCAGCATAAAAGTGATTGGGAAGGTAATGCAGATTTATGAATTGCTTTAATGTGCTCTTCTACACATGGTTGACAATGAAAATCCTATCAAGAGAATTACCTGTTTTTGGTTTTATACATAAAACATACATACATACATGGGAACATACATRCACGGGAATGCTTGCACTTTAGCATCAAGGAGATTTRAGATGTGATGCTCTGATATATCAAGTGTCTCAAATGCAGGGGATTAGTGTCTGCTGTTTGTATATGAAGCAGCTGGACACTGAGGACTGCTGCTGTTTCAGAGGAGTGAGTGACAAATGAAGCACACATATAATCTGTCCAGTAATTGGGCATCTATGGCTCATTCATAAAGGGCTTTGAGATCTGCTGATGGAAAGATCTGTATAAGATTTGTGTAGTATTATCTGTGATTCCCAATGTATTTAACATGAASTGTGAGTTCATTGTTGAAAGATACAGTTCCTTAGGCTAGGCTCCATCAAAAAACAAGAAATGTCATTTTGGATATCACAGACCTGAGACTGTCCTTGTAGTCCAGTTGTTTGCTCTTATACTTCTATCCTGAATTTCCCAACCAGAAATCTGGCTCACCGCAGTGTACCTCACTGGGTCCTAGGTTTCTAGAGAGGGTTAGATTTACTGTACATGCACTGTATGCTTGAGGTAGAATAAATTCACACCGTGAAGCCGTTGCATACACAAATCACCTGTAACCCAGGAGCCCTCTGCTTCACAAATGCCTCAGACTTACTGTGTGTGTAGACACATCTCAGCTATCCAGATGTTCATCAACCCTGAGAATGATTTAGTACCAGTTCAGCAGACAATATCCAGTCATTCCCAGGCTTAGATACATTCAAATGACAAAGTACTGGTCTCCCCAGCTCGGTAGACCATTTCTAAATATACTTCTAGCAGCTTTGTAATGGCAGACAAATAGGGGTAATTCATGCTAAATGATTGCAGTGTCTGSAATGAATTATGAATATGGGTGGTCCTTGAGCTGTAATCTTAAAGTGCACACTTCTATTTAATAAAGGCTTATCAACAACCCAGGCGGAATATGGTGCAAGAGGAAGCGGATTTAAGGAGACACTACCTGTAACAAGTTCCAGTGGTGCTGCTCCTGATTCTTGCAATTCCACAGTAGTGGCAGAAGGTTTCTGTGCTCTGTTGCAAGAGCAAACATGTTTTCCAAGCACGGATCATCAGAATAAAGCAGCTCCTCCAGCAAATGTGGAGGAAGAACAAAGAGCAGAGGTGCCGTGCTGTTTGAGTGAAGCCACTGGTGAATTGAAATTACATCAGGAAAATGTCAATACTGAAGTGTCTGCACTTCGAGAATCTCAGCAAATGAAAGCAGAAGCTGTTTTGTTGCCAGACGTACTAACAGATGACTTGTTTAGTGATGGCATGGAAGCTCAAGACATAAAAACATTGGCAGATATTGCACAGAAGTCATCAGCAAAATCTGTGGGCCAAAAGGATGAAGACTTGGAAAAGGAAGATCCACCATCTACTGGCAAGATAGAAGCTTGCCTGGGTCCTAGTGAAAATGAGTCCATCCACTCCATCTCAGATCCCACACTGAGCATTTCTCAGGTTGCTCTGGCCAATTCAGGGTCTTTGTTTGAAGAAGTGGCAGTGGCTGTTTTGATTCCTGAAAACAGTTCAGGAGCAAGAAATGATAAAGAAACTTCTGAAATTATGGAAGTACAATCATCCAAAGGCAATGCAGAAGCCAAAACAGATGCTGCTGCATCTGGCTTGGAAGCAGATTCCATGCTGACCCCCAGTAAAGTAGATGCGTGCCTCAAAGCAGAAATACCTTGTTCTATTTCAAAGGGTAACGAAGACAGTCGGCAAACCAGCACACCATATACCTTTGAAAAACTGTCCATTGGATGTCTGGCCTCCTCAAGTTTGTTTGGCTTGAAGAGTAACATCTCTTCTAATAATGACAATAAGGAGTACCAGTTAAGCAGTACAGCTTCTCAGACAAAAACAGTGAGAGAGAGCCAATCTTTGGAAGAAAATATAAAAACTCCACTAAAGAGTGCCGCTGCTAAACCAGTTAGATTTACCATTGCTCCAGCATGGCAAAGATCTCTCTCAGGGGGTTCAAATTCGAAGGAAGATTCTTACAGCAGAAGTTCACCTACCTCCCCTATAAGACCAGAGTTGTTTGAAGGCACAACAAAAGAGCACACACATTTTGATGCTGTCATACAAGAGTCTGCAAAAAACAACTCCCATAGATGTGGTCATGACATTAAGGACAGTGACTGGCATTCGAATTCTTCCATGGAGTGGGGTGACCAYGAAGCACAAAATGTTGAAAACCCGTTTGGTGTCAGACTGCGGAGAACATCGTCATTGCTGAAGTACCAGAGTGAAAGTCGTGCTGAGAATCCAAAGCTGCTCCCCTCGGCTGCTCCCACCTCTCCTTCGGTTTCTGTCAGTGAGGATCAGAAATCAGCTGGCCCCGAGAAGCCATCCCCAGGCCTGCCTGTTAGCACAAAACCATTTGTTAAAAAATCAGATCTCCTTGAAGATAAAAATCCTCCCAAGGCAAAATCTGAAGAAGTGGCAAAGAAGCGAAATGGGAGTAAACCTTCAGGTAYTTACACTGTTTTTATCCATACACTATAGAAATTAATAGCCTTCTGGGACACTTGGCAAAGTAGCAAACAAAAGAAAAGAACTCTCTTGGACAGGACTAAATTCAGCCCTGAGTTCATCAGCACTGTATTTAATTGGTTTGATAATTTGGCCGATTAGGGAATTCTTGGTTTATCTTAATGGTGGGTGTATTCCAGCAAGAATAACAGGAGAATAATAGCTTGAGGGCTTTTGAAATGTTTTTGGTATGACCTGCTTCTGCAATCAGCTAGAGTTTTTACATTGCATTTTAAAACTTGCTGCTGTTTTGTAGTCAATTTTTCAGATTATGACAGCTGAAAACTTAACTAGGAATTGTATTAGGTGTGTTTCTTTTTTTCTCCAATCACTTGATTTAAAACACTAGAAAAGTGAAAGGGCATCCCGTGTTTTTCTACTTACATGAAAAAATAATGGTTATCAAACTCATCTAATCTGCAGTGTAAGGATGTTGTTTCAAAGGGAAAATCCGGTTCACAATGGTCTTGGTGGGAGTTCTGCCATTGACKAAAAGGGAAGCATGGTCAGGTCAAAAACTCTAGGGTAAACAGAAAAAGAGTTATTGCCAAGGACAGAATCATCAGGGAAGGTAATTTTATCTCCATGCCGTTCAAARGGTATTACAGATGCTGAAGGATTTAGAACACAAAACACTAGCTTTAGACTGCCTTGACCTAAATCCCTTCCTCATTTCAGAAATGCTTTTTCCTTTTTTCTTTATAGAAAAGGTCTCCACTCCACATTTGGAAACTGCTTCCTCYGAACCAGCTTGGGTCTCCATGGCAAAACTAAAACAAAAGGGTTTCCAGGGCCACCCTCTTGCCAAAGAACATAAAGCTGAAGACAAAGCTTGGCCCAACACAGATCAGGAGGAGGTAGAGTATAGACTAATGTCTCTATCTCACCATGAGAGCTGCAGGGAGTTGCAGTAACTTTCCCCATACTAATGACTAAGGCAGCGTCCAGTGCAGTGCCCCAGAGACTGTTTACCTGCAGTTTGGGTTTTCCACTGCCTTTGCACAAATTACCTGTGCAGCCTGGGCGAGCCCTTTGCTTTCCCTGTCTCTAAGACAGAGAGGATAACCTGCTTGCATGTTTAGCAAGCCTTGTGTTTATAACAGCTGCCTTCCTTCTTCCCCTCTGCCTTCCTCCCGCAGGCTGTTCCCAGCCATTCTTTACTGGTTTTCAGTGCATTCCTACAGTCAGGTTTTCAAGCTGCTTCCAGGACTCTGAGTTAAACTTGCTGAGTGCAGGTGCCTGGTGGGTTCCGCACTTGCATTCATTTCTCCTCTTCCCTCTCTTGTAGCCAGCTAGTGAGAACGTGTTGAGGAAGAGCATGCCTCCCGCTTCAAGCTCGCAGGAAAAGAAACTGCAAATGAAGAGCAGTGTGTCTGCTGCAGCAGGTATTCTCTTTCTTCCACATCTTCACATAGTGATTACAGTTTCCACCAGTAAATAGTGAAGGTGGTGGGTAGCAGGGAGCAGATTGCTGCTTTTTTGGTAATCTATACACTTTATACAAGGCCTGTTCAGACAATGGTTTACATATAAGGCAGTGCACTGCCTTGCTTGCTTGCCAGAAAAGGTGAAAAAAAGAACTTTATCTCTACTGTCAGTTCATGAACGACTACATAAACAATATAGTGATTTACTATTGGTTGAGGTCAGTACCCAAAACTATTTTCCAGGGAGCAGTTGAAGTTGGACAATGTCCAGAAGAAAAGAGCAAAAAAAGATCAGGTCTTCTAGACCTGCAGTCAGCCAGGAAGTAATGAAGGGAGTGGAGTTGTTTAGTCTAGAAAAGAAGACTTAATTTCCTTCAAAGTGTAGGCTSTAAATGCATCAGGGGAGGCTTAACTTAGGCATTAGGAAAAGCTTTCTAACAGTAAGGGTGAAATGTGACACAGATTGCTTGTAGAAGGTGTGCAGTTTCCATTGCTGGGTGTTTTTGAAAAGGGGCTAGTTAAACATGCATCAAGAATAATTCAGGTAGAGTCAGTTCCGCCCTTGGGTGAGCAGGGAAATTGGATGCGACTGCAGAGAGATGCAGGGGAAGAGCGTGACTCAGACATGGTGACTCACAAACCTCTCCCAGGGCTACTGCTGRGCTGCAGCTTATTCTCCCCTGCGTGCTCAGCGTGGTGCCAGACCTCAGAGACGTGTTCCAGCTGTGTGCAGATAAGCCAGTTCTTCAGCTCTAAAAGCATTTTGTGCTAGCTGAAAGCTGCTGATTTCAGATGCTCCTTAAGAACCTAAGATCTGCTCCACTGTGTCAGCGTGGTGGCTCATCTGATCCACAGTTGTATCTGCCCCTGGCAGTAAGGGATGCTATCTGCAGAGATGCTGTTTTTCAGTTTCTGTGAACTGTCATCACTTTTCTTCTCCCTTAATGTATGCTTGAGGTTGTGAGTGCGATGCACACATCCTGCACTCAGCAGCAAGAGGAAAGACAACTGAAGATCGGCTAAGTTTGGAAGGGAATTTCAAGAAATCAGATCCTTACTTTACTGTGACTGTTTTGTTACGGCTGTGTAGGAGCCCATGTTATAACTAAGGGAAGATGAGTTAGCTTATCTCTTCTCTTTCTCTCTTTTGACCCTAGGCACAGTGAGGCTTGTCCCAAAGCCTGTCTTCCTCAAATTTGCATGTGCCACTGATTTGGGTTTCTGTTTTACCCTGAGCTGTTGAAAGCATGCAAAGGGGCTTGACACTCAGTTTTGCTTATTACAAAGAAGAAAGTCTCCTGAAGTGTGCAAGTCTATTTCCAAAGTCAGATTTTTCAATAAGACATAAATTCATTTCTGACCAATGTAGTGTGTATGAGGAGCTGCAACCTTTTCTTACTGCACAATATACTTCCTCGAGTAGTCCTACGTGTAGTCTGCCCCCTGCAAGAACTACAAGGAAAGTAAAAAAGACCAGACACCTCCYGAGTGGAGGTAGGAACTTCTGTGGCTTGGCCCAGGGGTGTGACTAGCAAAGCTGAGGGCATTTTTCATTAATTTAAATACAAGCAGGATCAAGGTTCATGAACTTAACATTGCTTAAGTCCCTGTGTGGACTCTCACGCTGGAGCACACCAGCCTCATCTTGTCTGCCATGTACCTCACATCGATTACTGAAGAATGAGAAAATGTTTGAGTATTTCCCGGGCTCTAACTTGTRCATGGAGATACAATATGGCCTGGATTGGAGTGGAGGGAGGTAGGATGCACAGCATTGACAGACTTGTGAACGGTGGTGCAAGAAATGAGAGGTACTTCTGTTCAGAGCTGCATTCTGCAGAGCCCCAWCGCAGGCAGTCTGTCTCAAGACATCAAGCTTGAAAATCTCCAAACAGGCTGGATGGAAGAGGCCTTTTCTAAACAGTAGCTTGATGCCAAACTAGCAACGTTGCCTGCATTCCTCCTCCTTTTTTGAGGAGGAGAGGCTTATATTAGACTGCATGAAAAACATTCATCCCCACAAGCATCCTACCTTCTTCGTTTACAGATCCAAGAACATAAAACATYGATTTGACCTTATACTTAATAGTGTTGCTGGAGTAGGAATATTTGTGCTCACAGTGAAGACTGAAAAATGAATCTTTAGACTTTTCATTGTTGAAAAACAAATACCAATTTATTTAACTCCATAATGAACCTTACCCTGCAGATAACTCAGCTTGCACTTTACTGCATGCAGGACTCATTTCTAGATCTTCTTGCACTCACAGACCAGAATAACCCTGTGGAACTCCTTGCTGTGCTTTCATGGCAGCTAAGAGCTTGAAAGAAAGGAGAGGAGAAAGAAGGAATAAGCCAAGAATACAAATAGCAAGAATAGCTGGGACTATAATCTCCACACATTTGAAGAATTTGGAAGAACTTTATGTGTCAAGAACTAGATACTTGCTTATCACTTGTGCCTCAGGAGAAGATTCCTTTCAGGGCAGATCCTTTACTGACAGCTTAGAGTCAGCTTTTCCATTGCAATATTTAGTCCTAGCTGTTGTTGCTGCTGGACCAGTTTGTGCTAGCCATACCCAGATTAGCAATTTCTACTGACTTTTATTTTTGAGTCACAGACATTTGGACAGTAAAATGATTGTGTGAAAGTGAGGAAAAAAGTACTGGCAGAAACTGAGTTTTAACTGTTTAGCCTTCTGCTGAATGATGGATATCTTCTTGTTGGCAGGTAAAGTTGGACCTATTACTCAGGAAACCTCTATGATTCCTGCTGTTGAAAAGGAAACACGACCCTCATCTAACCTGCCAATGTCATCATGCAGCCCTGTTGAACCACCATGGCTGTCCCTGGCCAAGAAGAAAGCCAAAGCATGGAGCGAAATGCCCCAGATTGTACAATAGCAAATGACCCGAGCATCCTTCTTGATATTGCCAATAGCTGCATTAACTCTATTTAATCACTTCTTTACCTTGACCATTTTTGAGAAATAAGAGCCTTAGAACTTCCGTCCATTACTGTTACACTGAAGCAATGAAGAAATGCCATTGAGGGCTTAACCTAAAGGAGAAGGGAGCAGAGTATTTCCCACTACCAAATACTAGGAAAACTTGATCAATTTGTTGTGTACTTACATGGTTGACTAAAAGACACTTATGCTCTAAGAAGACATGCTTCAGGCTTTTTAATGTTTCCCTTTCAAAATATATTTATAAAGTTTCCACTAACCACACAGTATTTTGTGAAATTTGGCTTTGGATAGGAAATTAATGTGTGCTTATAAAATAGATGTACTGCTGTGCACTGACACATCATGACTCATGGACACTGGTGTCATAACACTTCTCTATCTGATGCTCTGAGGCGGACAGTCTGACCTTGCTTCTCGTTGTTAATACATCAATTTTGTTTTGTTATTAGGATCCAAACAGTTGTGTGAGGTGGAGTGATTCTATTTTTCAAGTGATTTGAAAACAAAGCATTACAGGGCCTTGAGCACAGGGCCTTGAGCACTGATGGCTGTTGGAATGGCCCAGAGCCACCACCTTCTGCACTGTTCCACACACTAGAAAACCACTTCTCTCTAAGGTACCCTCAGCTCTTGGCTGCACTTTTGGAAAGCTGGGATAATTTCAGATTGGGCCTTACATAAAAATAAGTCCTTTCTTCAATTATGACAAAAAAATTTTGTGTGTATGTGAAATTCTTCAGTCAGTTGTCACTCCTGGAGAGTATGTTGGTGATGGGAAATAATTATATGGCAGAAGGTGACATCTTTGCAGCAAACACCACTGCTGTCCATGTTCATATGGCTGTGTATTTAGACAGGTGTAGTTACTGTAATTTATAAAAGGTCATCTGGTTTCCTCCTTGTCTCATCCTTTTTTTTTTTTTTAACCAAAAAATCAACATCCTTCTAAAAATGTGCATTTAGGAAAGGATTATTCTTTCAGGGCTGAGCCTTGCAGTCCCTGAATCAACAAGAGTTTTGCCATTGACTTTGAAAGGAGCAGACTTTTCAAAAAGAAATTCAGAAAGTGGTGATAGCAGTTTAAATGGCAGTAACACTTACTATTCCTTTTTCTTTTTGCAGAATTGCACATTTATAAAGTAATTTTTGTTTATAGGCAAGGCAGAATTTAAAGGCTGACTTGGCTGATGGACTGGTTTTAGCCATTTGGTAGGTRTGCTTAAGGGGAATGTTATCTATTCCTAAATTTAGCAACAAAGCAAAAATTTTGGGTTTTGATCAGCTCATTAATAGGACTTTAATTTTACAATTCAGTCCCTAATTTGAATATCCCAGAATTGCAGAATGGTTGAGGTTGGAAAGGACCTCTAGAGATCATCTAGTCCAATCCCCCTGCTCCAGCAGGGACTCCTAGAGCGTGTGGCACAATATATAGYTTTTGAAATTTGAAGAGAGTATTAAATGAGAACCGGACCGTGAAACATTTTTATACAGGTATAAGCTTACTCAAGTAGCTCCACTGAAGCTATAGGTTCTGTTTGTGTATATTAGCACCAGAAAGTGTAAGTGTTTCACAATCTGGTAATCCAGTCCTATATTACTACTCTCTATTTTAAGAAACATATCTTCTCTTGCAAAGAACAAAAGTATTTGTGTTTCTATGAATAATGTAAAAGAACATACTAAACTTTATTTCCTGAGGTTTTGTATAGCTGATATCCCACCACAAGCTCTCTGACCTCCCGTAAAAGACATGCTTTTCTATATTCTGCATTTTTTCTTCTCGTTATTATTATGGATTGCATTTCTTCACCTAAAGTGCTGCAGATGATACTAAAATCCCTCTTCCCTTGTGTTGCTTTTGATCTTAATATTAATTATCTATTATATTGAATATGTATATATGTTTTTTTTAATCCTTGCCTTGAAGGAGCCCTTTTTGTATGCTGTACCTGTATTTGGTTTACTATTAAACACTGCTATCAGTGATGGTGATATAATTCCTGGGAAAATAAGAGTAATTGATGGTCTTCATTTACTAAGGAAAAAAATGTAGAAGGCTTTGGACACTATGGACACTATATGGATATACTGCATAGATCTTATTCTGAGATGATTAACTCAGTGGCCTAGGATTTATCAACAACCTTGTTCACAAATTGGGATTACAGACTCAGGAGCTTTTCTATGTCTGTTTATGGGAGCTTATGGGAGTTTAAAAGGCCTGAGCTGATGGCCCTCCTTCTCTTCTGGAGCTGCTGCTCCTCCAGCTCGTCGCTTGGCTTGGAGGCCAATGCTCCTGCTGCCTCAGGAAGCCTTGCAAGTGTTCATCAGAAGGTGTTTCATTTGAAGGTGTTTTGGTATTGCTGAGACAGGACACAGTTGCAGTCTTTGAAAATAAGCTGCCCTGAAGTGCAGAGGTCATTGCAGAACTTCGCTGTGGGGTTTTATGGCTCCAYGTTCAGTGAAGGATCCAGGAGGCCCTTCCCGGGGGGGTCCCTGTGCACAGTGCAGGCCCTGGGCTCTAAACTGACTTCTGTGCTAAGTGACAGCAGAGGGTGCTAGTGCCATCCCCAAGGAGCTCGGGAGGGTTTGTGGAGCCATGGACGGCAGAGTTCAGTGTGCCTGTTTGTAGCCAGGCTCTTCCAGCAGCAGCAGGCTCGCATTGCGTCCAAGTGGGGTGGTATTTCTGCCTGTAACTCGACTGGGTGTTTTAAACTATAGAATATGAGAAGATGCTTCATCCTGTTGGTATAAGAAGCCACTRAGAATTGGTGACAACCATGTGGAAGGACAGCTTGCATGGTGACTTCAGTGACAGAGAGACATGTGAACATATCCAAAATGGACATCTGCATTTGGGCATTTTAATGCTGCTGGTGCCTGGTTAGAAGCCATTCCAGACAGATGTGGAGTCTGGTGATTTTACAGGAGAGACTGGAGAGACAAACAGCAACTTGGCAGGCACGTGGATGAGGGACATGGGGGTTTCTCCTACGCTAACACTGTGCTAACTGCACAGGCTAAGGCTAAAAGGGAATTTGCTACCGTGCAGCTGCAGTGTTGGATTTAACCAGATTTATGGACAAGAGGGAAGGAATCAGACCAAAGAAGGAAAAAGACTTGAAAACCTCCAAGCCACTCTCTCTTGCTCCAGCACAACTCTGATMATATAGTCATTACTAGTGAGTACACATCTCCTTCAATAGCCTGAAATAATTCTCTCTAAAACACACATATTATTCCATAGCCAACACTCAGTTCAATTACCATAGCTAGGAGGAAGGTCTTGGAATATTTGGGAATGATTAACCATGCTGAAAGCACTAGCTTTTTTCGTGTTAGAAAGTTTGAATAGAGAGGGTCCCCTTAACTARTATTACATTGTGTCTTTTGAAGTGCAGTGATTTAGAGTATTAAATGTAATTCGTTTGTCTGGAATTATTACAGAAGTTCTAAGCTTAGGAAGGCAAAAAACGCAGAGTTGGTCCTACCGGCTTTGGCAAGTGCTTTAAAGACTGTTAGAGGAAAGACATTGGCCTGTGAAGATAGTTTGTCCCCTAGAACTGGTACTAGAATGAGGACCTGGAGCGTGCTATAGTCAGAGATATGATTAGCAGCCTAATGACATCTAGCAGCCTAACAAGATACACATCTTTTCCTCTAGCGTGTGTTAGCCTACCTGCTTTTGTATTAGAGAGTTTCCTTGTCATAAGATTTGACAGACATGTCCCATCTACCAAAAACGTTAGTCACCAAAATGTTAGCGAGCAGTGAAACGTGCCACAGCTGGAGCATACTCCCCTGCACAGATGGAAGCAGGACTTGGCCTGACCTCACAGAGATATAGCAATGTGCTAGGAAGGGGTCAAAAATAAGATTTTTTTTTTAATAGCTATTTGTTTGTGGAGGCATTTGAAAGAAGAAATCTACAGGTAGATTATGTAAACAGGAGTATTAACTGTCAAGTATTAGACTGGTCTGTAAACCAAATGAGCCACTAAACAACAAGTAGGTGTGAAAATATGCGAGGGTTTTTGTATGATGTAAAGATGAAGAGGCAGCAACAGGGACTGAGAAAATAATCTATGTGCAAAAGGTGGTTTGGAATCTGCAGCTGCCTCAGTCTAGCCATGTCTGCCTCTGATTTGTTGTTGTTGTTGAAAAAGATTCAAAAGTTTCTCTCTCAGTCTTGGTTTTTATTTGTGGGATAAAAGCACTGACTATTTGATTTCTTTTATAATCAGTCATACTTTGCAGGAATCTTCAAAGATCACTGCTACCTACTTTGGTAAGCAATTTAAGCTAATTACATCTCATTTTCCATACTGTCCCCTTCTCACTTCCAGATTAGCTTTGATTTGCAGGTATTTTTCCAGAGSAGAGGAATGAGGCTGTGTGTTTTAAAATTAGAAACTTTTCGCACAATTCAGAAATAGGTTTCTGTGGCGTTTAAGTAACTTTTTCCAAATTACGCAGTAAGGTCAGTGTAGCAACAGCAGCCGTGCATAGGAAAGGGCCTAAATCCAAGAGGTGTTTTGTTTCCATAGAACTTAACTTGCTTGCAGCAGCCCTCCCTAATGATGCTGTTGGCACCGCAGGGAGCTAAGGAGGCAGGAGGGGACCTTGCTGGCTGGCTTGGAGCGAGCACGTCCTTCCTGCTGTCCTAAATACCAACAATGTCACTGGTGACGAAGGCAAGCGGGGTGGCTGAGCAAAGTCACCATGGTCCAGCAGCGACGGCGATGTGCCCCCCRCAGAGCCCTGTCTTGCCAGGGCTGCACATGGGGTGAAATAACTCCACTGGGCTCTGTGAGYTGTGAACATGCGTTTTATTGATCCATGGATAAACAAAGTGGCTTTTCTGTCGCAGCTAAATGTGCAAATTAGGGTATATCTACATTTTAAAAAGGCAGAGCTGTGTTTTAAACAGCTTTTCATTCTGTYCATTCTGTTTGGATCCAGAATTGCTTTCTAAAGAAGAATATGTGTGGCCTTCCCTTTCTAGCAGACCACTTCATTGGCAAAGAGAAGCTCGGCCTCAGTGAACAACCTGATCCGCACTTGTATGAAGGGACATAAGAGGTGCTTGAACTCAGGGCTTCATTTTGCACTTGTCGTTCTGACACAGCAGCATGTTATATGAGCATTTCTAATGTTATGATCTCTTGAGAAAGTAAATGCCTTCTTACCTGCAGCCGAAGCTCTTATTTTAAAAACAACAGGAAAAAATGCTGCATATTGAGATACAATATACCTGTAGCCTCACTTTTTATTTTATGTAAAATGCTAACAGACTCAACACTGCTTTTTTTTTTGTTATTTGTTTACAGTTTCAGAGCACAAGTTATTACTAAAGCACAACTTCTGTGAAGCACTTTAGCTTGGGTGGGCAATGGGCTGGGGCTTGGACTGACAACATCTCAAAGAGGCTGCAGGCTAGTCCTGTTCTTGATCAGTGATGGTAGAAACTCCATTTGATGCCTCTCAGGATGAGTAAAAGTTGCTTCTGAGGTTCCCTTAATGGCAGAGGAAGAGCAGCTGCTGCCCAGCCTGCTCGGTCCGTGCCAGCAGGCTCGCTGCTCGCTCCCTGGTTTGCTTTACTGTCAGCCAGAAGCCTCCCTGCTGCAACCGAGCAAAATAAATGTTTGTGCAGCTCCAGTTTAGGGACGCTCGTGAATGAGCTGGTGCCAGGAGTTGTCCAGATGTGATCTCTAGTGTCTTTCATACTGGGTTTAATTAATTTGGTCTAGTAGTTTTTGCAAAGCACAGATGGCTTTGTGACTGCACCCCGCTGGTTTGGTCCTACACGGTCAGTTCAACTCTGTGAGTTTTCATCTGTTCTTGCTTTTTGCCATCTTTTTTTTTATCCCATCCATTTTCATTTTCTCTTTTGGGGTCTCCCTTCCTCCTTGGGGTCTTGCTGAACTCATGTCTGGGTTTGTGGCAAAAGATCTTCTGCCTTTAATTAATCTGATTATATTTAATAATGAGTTATGGTAACCCTTTGGGCATATTTTTTAACTGCAGAAGTTGCTAATCAATTTTGCAGATCTGGCTTTGAATGGGATACCTTAATTGAAGGCAAAATTAATTCATACCTAAAAAAACAACTCTCACTGTATTTTTGAGACTGTTACATTAATGTGTGTGTGGATGGTTGGTTGATTTTCCAAAGACTGTATGTTTTGGCTCCAAGGAGGTTGGGGACTCAACATGCAGCTTATGCCTTATTTTTGGAGGTGTGCCACTTCCCTCGTATGGGACACCTTGTTGCACTTGCCCAACGATGCTT